CCGTAGCCCGGCCGTCAGACGAGAAGTCTCGCGGAGCCGTCTTGGAGCCGCCACCCATAGGCGCGCCGCCGAGGCTGCCGAGCTGGCGCCCTGCACCTTCCGACCCGCACCCTCTCCCCGCACGGCGCCGCACTCGCTGCGTCGCTCGCAGTCCGAGAGCGCGCTGAGGCAGGCGCGGCGGCAACGCGCACGGCACCACCACCACCTCAGACCGCCCCACGAGGCACTTGTGACTGAGCTTGCGCCCGTCGAGCGGAACAGGGGAGGCCGGCGCACGAGCGGCTGCACCGGCCGGACGAGCGGGCCCGCAAGCTCGACGAGCTCGAGCGGCGCAGGCGAGGCCGCGGACCTCGGCAACTCTCGGCACATCTCGGCGCGGTCTCGGCCGATTTCGGCGCGGTCTCGGCGCGGTCTCGGCGCGGTCGCGGCGCGGTCGCGGCGCGGTCTCGGCGCGGTCTCGGCCGATCTCGGCCGATCTCGGCCGATCTCGGCCGATCTCGGCGGGGCTCGGCTGAGCTCGGCTAGTCTCGGCTTAGCTCGGCCGGTGGCGCAGGCGAGCGGCGGAGGAGGCCGAGCTGGAGTCCTGCTCCTTTGCGCCGCGCGTGCTGCGCCCGTCGCGGCTCAACCCTGCGGCGGCGGAGGTGGCGTCTCGCGTGCACGCCGCGCTGTCATCTCGGCTCATCTCGGCTCATATCTCGGCTCATCTCGGCTCATGTCTCGGCTCATCTCGGCTCATCTCGGGTCGACAGGTGACGTCTCGCTGGCGGAGCTCGCCGAGCAAGGGGGAGCGGATCCGCGCCGCCGAGCAGGCGGCGGCCGAGGAGGCACGCGAAGGTTCTCGGAGTTTTCCGCGAAGGTTCTCGGACCCTTGCTCTAGGCGGCGGCCGAGGAGGCGCGCGAGCGGCGGCGGATGCGACGCAGCAGCAGCAGCGGGGGGCTGGTCGGCGGCGGCCGGCAGCAAGGCGGCCGGCAGGCGCCCTTCTCTCCTCGCGTCAACGCGCTCCCTCGTAGTCTGTCCAGTGCCGCGGCCGGCTACCTCGACGAGCCCGCGCACGTGCGGCTGTCGCGCGCGCCTCCCCCCGTGTTGCCCCCGCCGCAGGGACGCCCCCAGCAGGGGCGCCCCACGCCCCGCTCGCTACGTCGCTCGGCGTCGGCGCCGCGCTTGCAGGCGCGCTTGCAGAGGCCGCCGGCGGCGGGTGCAGGGGCGGAGGGAGGGGCGGGCGGAGGGGCAGGCGGAGCTGCGGGTCGGCCCGCCCCTCCCGACGACGTCTCCTTTGAGGCCTTCCTCGAGAGGCAGGCAGAGTACGCGCGGCGAAGGGCCCTCGCAGACGCGCTGCGCGAGGCGGAGAGCAGCGCGGCGGACGAGGCGGCCCTTTGGTTGCGTGGAGCCACCGATGCCCCTCAAACCACTACTAGGCGGAGAGCAGCGCGGCGGACGAGGCGGCGAGGCGGGTGCGACCTTCGCCCCGCTCCGCCCGGCTAGCGGCGGGGTCGCCGAGCTTGCTCCGCCGTCTCGAGACGAGGTGTGTGGCAGCTGCTCCAGCGCCGGCAGCGCCCGGCCCTCGAGGTGATCTCGGCTCATCTCGGGCAGTCTCGTGCCCCAGGTCAAGCAGCCGTCCCTCCAGCCGACCCGCCTCGCCCGGGAGGCGAGGCGGCGGAGGCGGCGGCGGAGGCGGCGGAGAGGGAGGGGAGGGAGCCGCCGCCGCCGCCGCCGCCGCCTCGCCTCGCCCGCCTCCTCGCGCGCCGCCTTCGGCCGAGTGCCCTTTCTCGCCGTCCATCAACAGCGACGCGCAGCGGCGGCGGCCGCGCTCCGCGGCGGAGCTGTCTGCGGGCGATGCGCAGAGGCGGGCGGCGGTGCACGAGGCGCGGCGGTGCGAGGCGGAGGCGGAGCCCGCCGCCGAGCTTCCCCTTCTCTCGCCAGATCGGCCGAGATGACCCGAGGCTGGCCGGTTGATAGGCGGAGGCCGCCGCAGAGCTCACCTTTGCGCCGCGGATCAACGCCGTCGAAGGCGTCTCGTCGCGCCTCAAGGTTGCGACGGAGCCGGACTCGTACCTCGAGCGCGTGCGGCAGCACATGGCGCCGCGAGACCACGTCGCTTGTTCGTACAAAGTGCCGTGGCGGTGGTGACGAGAGCGCTGCTCCGAACAGGCGCTGCGGGACCACGTCGCGGCGTGCATGCGCGAGGCCGAGGCCGAGAACCAGATGCGCGAGTGCACCTTCACGCCGCGCACGCGCGAGCCGCCCGCGTACATCGTCCGCATGGCGCGCAGCATGGCCGTCGCCAGAGCTTCCAGGCCGGCCGCGCCTCCCGCCAGGCCCGGGTGGCGGTGACCTCCGCAGGCTGTGGCGGCGCATGCTCGCGCGGTCTACTTTTGACCGTCCGTCAGCTTTATGTGACATATCAGACCTGTATCTAGATTCGGTTCATTTCGTTCAGGTTCACGTATTCGTGCACCCTTTATTACTTTTGTGCTCAAGCGTGGGGCTCGCGCCCGCCCCTCGCCAGGAAAAAACCGGGGCCGCGGGGCCGCTTACACATTTACCCTCGAGCGTTCTCGCACAAGATGGAGTGCGAGTTACTCGAACTCGTCTGTCGCCGTCCCAAACTGTCACTCCCCTTTCTCCCGGCCGGGGTGGGGGGGAGGGGGCGGCGAGTGTGCGGGATGTCTGTGGGCCCGAGAGCGATGCGTCATGTGTGTGCCCGCCTTTGCGTTTGTTTCATAAACATCGAAAGGTTACCCGCAGGTTAGCTCAAACATCAAAGGCAAAAAGCCTGCGAGCTAAGCTCAAAAATCAAAGGCAAAAGTCGGATATCGGAAGTGCAGAAAAGAAAGAAAGACGAGAACAGCGGCGGAGGAGCGCGCCAGCGTGGATAGGGCGCGTCCTCGCTCGTGGGCTCTCAAACAAAGAGCGTGGGAGAGACGAAGAGAAAGAAGAAAAGGGGGTTCTCACGCGCGCGAGACAGCGCTCTGTCCTTGTGTGCGCAGAGCGAGCTATAAGGTATAAGGTAAGGTAAGGTAAACGAGCTAGAATGCGAGTCACTGCGAGAACGTAGTAGCCTCACACGAATTAGGGCCCCTATCCCAATCGTTGAGGCGAAGGCAGAAAATCCGTACCAATTGGCACAACCCCCGCCGATGCGCGTTGTCCTCTTCTTGCTGCCGGGCTTTGGCCTCCATGACGAGGACTATTCGCGCCTCATTGCGAGCAGCGGTGTCGACTCCCATGTCACGTTCGACGTTTGGCCGCGAACTGTGGAGGAGGTCGAGCGCACAAACATAGGCATCCCCGGGCAACAGGACTCGCCAAAGGCCAACGCATGGATGGCCACAAAGACGAGAGACTGTGCTGTACGGTTGCAAGAGCTGACGGATGCGGAGGATACGCGCGTGATCGTCTTTGCGCATTCCGCCGGCGCAGCGTTTGCGAGTCGGCTGCGTTTGCCCTGCGTCTGTTTTGGCTGCAAGCCCATCGAAACCTCGCTTGTGCGCATCCGTGGCTCGTATGATGCTATCGCCAAGCCTTGTGAAGCAGATACCATCATCGACTGCGGCCACTTCGGCTGCGTCTCAAAGGAGGCGTACCACCGCGCCTGCGAGTTTCAGAAGGCTCTCGGTTTGCCACCCCTGCTTGAACAGCACAAGGATCAGAGTGCAAAAATTGGCTCGATCGTAGCTCGGGTTGCGCACCTACCACGCTCGGCAGTCAAGGCTGGCCAGCTAGCAGGAGTCTGAGACCAGCAGTAGAACTCGCCTTGAGCGTTACCCAAGCATGCACGTGACTCTTCGGCGGCACTGCGTTGAATGCTACACGGCGATACAAGGCATCATGTGACCTCTGATGTCTGAAGGCGCTTTTCTAGGGCAAGAGCCTCGCAGCAGCAGTGACGGACAGTCAAAAATAGAGCCGCGACAGCTTTAATTGCATATCATCACAGGTTACAGGCATGTAATTGCTGCGTGTTCTTTACTCTCCTAATGTTCGCACTGAGTCGTGATGAACGCCCCTGGGGCCCTCTCTATACAGCGGCGCCGGCACGCGTCGCACCGCGCAGGCGGCCAGAGCGCAGCAAGGCCACAGCCCCACCTGCAGCGGCAGCGGCGGCCATGGCAGCAATGGCCCACAGGCGGTAGTCTCTGAGGCCCAAGGTTGCGGAAATCGAGGCCCACACCTCCTGCGGCGACTTGTTCGATTAGTACGGTTGGACATTTGCTGGGCCCGATTAGAGAAGGAAGGAATATCGCACCGCTTCACGCCGATCAATGAGGCCTTTTCAAGCTCAACCCTCCCACGCGAAAAGCGCTTTGCCTTTGGTGCTGCAATCCTGCTTAATGTGCTGCATTGCGTTGATCAGAAGGAGCAGACTGCGATCCTCGAGGCCGCGGCAGATCGTGTTGCCCCTAAGGGCTGCATCATCATCAGCGGCCACTCAGAGCCCACATATTCTCGTGGTGAGCGCCAGCGCTCTCCCACCCTCCAGCTTCACCTCGAGCGCTTTCGAAACGTAGGACAATAATCTTTTTTCTTTTTTCATGTTTGCTCGAACATGTTCACCAGGCAGCAGAGTGCTGCACCGGCGTGCAGCGGATGCTGCGGCGCTGCGGCGCCGCCTCCCCGCCCTGTCCACGGAGCAGGCGAGCGGCGGCACGGCCTTCCACCAGCTGCAGGAGGTGCGCACTTCCCAGTGGAAGCACAGGATGCTCCCTCCGCATACGCAGCTTTGCGCAGCGCAGCGTACGGGCCACGCCACGCAAAGCCGACCCTCAGTCTGCCCGAGAGGCTGTCTGAGGAAGGCCTGGCAGGCGCGTACTCGCCTCCTCCGCGGCCATGCCCTCCGCCCGGGCGAGCGAGCAACGCGAGAGGACACAACCCATTCCGGGAATCATGTGCGGTCATCGAATTCTTTTTATTTTTCGTTCGCCCCATGTTCGCTTGGCTCGTCTCAGCCGTCGCTGCACCGCAAGCGGCCTCAATCCACTACCCAACGTTTGTGAAGGCGTTGCCTTCCATGTCCGGCCGGACGGTGGCCATTACCGGCTGCTCCCGTGGGCTGGGCTACGTAACGGCGCTGACGCTCGCCAAAAAGGGCGCACAACTCTTCTTGTTGAATCGTGATTCAGAAGCTTCTGCGAGGGCTCTCGTCGAGCTCACTGCCGAGTGCACCGCGGCAGGCAGTCCGATGCCGCAGCAAATCGCGTGCGATCTCCTCGACTTCTCCAGCGTGCGAGCGGCAGCGGACAAGCTGAGCTCGCAGCTTGCGGCGGAGGGCTTGCGCCTCGACGTGCTCTGCTGCAACGCGGGCATCATGCTGATGCCAGACGAGCCTTCCAAAGACGGTTACGATATTACGATCGCCACCAACGTGCTCTCCCACTTTCTGCTCGCGCGGGAGCTTCTGCCGGCTCTCGAGGCAGCCGCCAGCGCGACTGGCGATGCACGGGTCGTGTCCATGTCAAGTGGCAGCGGGATGGGGCCGCCCGGCTTCGACGCAGCATATTTTGCGGCAGGCAGCGGTGGTGCACTCGGTGGGCCTACAGGCGCAAACGCTCGCTACCATCAGAGCAAGCTTGCCAATCTCCTCTTCACCAGTGCGCTTGATGAGAAGCTGCGAGCGCGCGGCAGTCGTGTCAGGGCGCTCGCTTGCACGCCGGGCGTGTGCGGCACGGACATGTACGAACACGTGCAGGGTGTCTTCAACCCTGGCAAGCCTGTGGACTTTGGCGCGGTGGCGTCTGTTGAGGATGGCTGCCTCGGCCAGCTGAAGTGCGTCTGTGACCCGTCCGTGGAGTCTGGCGAGTGCTGGGGGCCGAACGGCTACTCAGGGCCACCGGTGCGCCTCGTCATTGCGCCGCCACGGGTGAAAATAGATGTGGCATCTAAGGCGGGCCTATGGGCCGCATGTGAGGGAGCAGTGGGAGTCTTTGAGGTGTGACTGTGAGAGAGAGAGCAGCAGAGAGCAGAGATTTAGAGCATAGAGGATGGAGGGTGAGCTGAGGAAATCGAGGGACGCGACCTTCCACTTCGCCACAGACGGTCCCGCGCCTCGCCGCTATGACCGCTGCACGGCCCGTACCGTCCACTGTGCAGCGGTTTTTGTCCGGAGTGAAAAGTCCAACACACTCCTTGGTAATAAACGGTGTCCCTCAAGCTCAAGCCTCTCAACCCCCGCGCGCTGCGCCGCGCTCGAGGCGAACCTCGAGTCAGCGCCTTCGGCGGCATGCAGCTCTTTGCGCCAGAAGCCTGGAGAGCAGCTCCTCTGCTGCTCACACACTCTGCACAGTTGGCACAGCCTACGGCTTTACTGTGCGGCTGCCACAGCTGTGACAGCGATGGGCTCGCCCTCACTGGCCCTCAGTCACTTGTACTTGTGCTGTGGCTTGTGTGAGCGACACTGCTCGGCGACTGCCGGCACACTGTGAGACCGTGGGTGTGAGGTAAAAGCACGCTACCAGCGCTTGGCCACATTGGCCCTGAAGTCAGATCCTTCTCCTCTGTTGATGGTAACACTTGTCTACTCTCTGGCGCCGTCTCGCCTCATGCCTCGGCCTCGCCCCGGCATTGTTGCGCTCTCGTGGGCTAGACCCGTCCGCCATCCGGGCGCTATTCGTGGTCTCAGGCCCGCTCGGGCTGCGCGCCAAGGACCTTTCCCCCTTCCGGTGGATGTGGCGCTTCTGGCTTACGAGACCGCTCATCTGGCTGCTCTTTGCCCTCCTCGATCGCGCAAACATACTGCTGCCAGTGCTTGGCAGGCCGGCGAACAGGGAGACGGCGGTAGAGTCGTCAGCACTTGCAAGCCTGGAGACGGCCGAGGCCGAGGACCTCCCGCCACACGTCCACTTCACCTATGGCACGAATGAAGACGAGCAGCTATTGCAGAGGGCCCAAGCGAGGGAGCTGCAGCGAATCGTCGCAAGCCGGCCCGCTCTCGCGAAGCGCGTGCGGGTAGAGGTTCTAGAGTGCAAAGGCGCGGGCCACTTTGACACGCACTGGCAGGCGGCCGATGGGAGCAGCGCATGGACGCAGGCGATGCGCCGGGCGATCCATGCGATCCGTGCAGAGCAAGGGCCGTGAAGTGATAGCGAAAAGTCAAGAGAGATGCCCATCTGCACAAACGCGTCCTCTCTCGAACCTGCTCTGTGATGTCTGTGTCGTCTCTAGGGCCGTATTGGCGTAAAGAAAGGCGCGCCCAGACTCTTTACGTTAGATTAGAGCCGTTTGAAGACAGAGCTCGTCACTCTCGTGCACAGCGGGCTGGGTGGTGGGCGCGGGGCGGGGGCTACCTTCGTTGCGCACCCCATCGGTGTCCACCTGCTGTCTCTCTCGCGTCGGTGAGCTGTGTGCACGGGCCGACCCACAGGCCACGGCCGCTCAACCTCATCTTCAGTCAATATCGAAGATACACACACACCCTCGACGGGGAGGCAGGAGCGCTCTTTTCCCAGCGCCTGTCACGTGTCAGGCTGACTCGACCCCCCCGGGGCCCGCTCGGACGCGTCCACCCTCCGTCCAAAACTCACCTTCCCTCTTTTACATACATAAAATCAAAAACATCCGTCCCCTCTCTACCACGCGGCTCTCTACGACCGGTGCGCCGCGGCCGGTCAAGACACTCAGGTCGAGACACTACTCTACGCGGTACTGATCGCAAGCGCAATCATGCACGGACGGGCCTCTCTCTCGTCTCCGCGGCGCAGTGGGGGCAAGGAGTTGTACAGCAGCACGAGACCCTCCAGCGGCGCAATCCAACGGCGCAACGGACAGGTACAGGTGCAGGGTCCGAGGTAGCAGGTAAGTGCCAAGCAAGCAGCTGCAGTGGACAGTCGTCGGCTCAAGCCGGGCTACTGGCTGCCAGGTGCGCGGTAGAGGCCGTCCCACTGCGCCTTCTCCATCACCTCCGGCTTCTTGGCCGCCTCCTCCTCCACCTCGAGGTTGATGCTGCCTCCAACCGTCTCGATGTCCGCCGTCACCCGGACGTAGACCAGCTGCGGCTGCGTGGAGCCCATGCCTTCGGACGGGGCGGAACCAGAGGCGTGGGAGGCGTGCCATGGACGTGTTGGCAGGTGGTGCGGGCGGGCGCGCGGAGACGCTGGGGCGGAGATGCGGAGGGGCGGGTGGAGAGAGGTGGAGAGAGGCTGCTCGCAGGTCCTCGGCGGTGTCTCTATCAGCAGTCCGTCTTGAGAGTGACTGCTCAATTGATCCGTCTCTGCGTACGTCTCGGGTCCTCTCGGGTCCCCTCGCGCCCCCCGGGTATATGCGCACCCGTGTAGTTGAACTGGTCGTCGCAGAGCGGGTCCTGCGTCCGGCCGGCGGCGTCGACCCCGCGGCAAGAGAGGACGTACGACCCTTCCGTTTTCGCGTCCCAGTCAAAGTGCCACGCGGCCCACCCAAAGGCGCCCGACTTGTCGCCCACCTCTGCCCTCTGCCACGTCTTTGCGCCGTCGCTCGAAAACTCGACGTAGTCGATGTCGACGGCGCCGGCCCAGACCTACGGCAAGGCCAGGTGAACCTGAGGTGAACTGCTCCACACACACGAGGCGGTGGGGCCAGGCTATCCCTCGCGGCTTCCACGTCTGCAGAGAGGAGCTGGCACGGCATTGAAGGTGCGAGGCTCGGGAAGGGCCAGACCTTGCCGCGGACGCGCACCACGCCCGGCGCGAGCAGCCGCGTGCGCGAGTAAAAGTCCGGGTGGCCCGGCGGCGCCATCATTGCGCGGACGGGCAGCTGCTCGATCGGCAGCGGCGTCGGGTCGAGCCGCGAGCGGCGGTAGCAGTACACGTCCATCTCGGTCCCCCACCTGCGTCGCGAGGTACGCCAACGTCAGGTCGAGCCGAGTACGCGCGGCCGAATACGACTGCATACGCGAGACGGCGGCCGAGTACAGCTAGCTGCATGCGCGCCCTCTCGAGTGGTGAGAGCTGGAGTACGCGAGTCTTTTCTCCGCTTCTAGCCGCTTCTAGGGCCCCTCACCAGCCGCCCGAGGTGATCTCGATCGAGGTGAGCCACTTGACCGAGGCCATGCCGTACCAGCCCGGCACGATGATCCGCACCGGCGCGCCGTGGCACGGCAGCAAGTCCGCGCCTAGCCACCGGCTGGGGGTAGGGTTAGGGTTGGAGTCAGGTTTAGGGTGAGGGTGAGGTGGCAGCAACGTCCGCGCCGTTCATCTGCCAGCAGAGCATAACGTGGCCCGTCATCGCCTGCTCGACCGTCAGCGAGCGGCGAAAGTAGTCGACGGTGTTCCACTCGACGCCCTTGTCCGCGCCCGTAAAGATGACCTGCGCCGCACCGTCTTTGACGCCGACCTCCTGCAGCAGCTCCGCCAGCGAGCAGCCCGTCCAGTCGGCGCTGATGGGAGGAGGCGAGGTGTGAGGTATGGGAGCAAGGTGAAGCAGGGCGCGTGAGATTGGGAGGGCGCGGTGAGGCGAGGGACGGAGCAGTGCGGGATGCGAAACAAGCACCAGCCAAACGCGTCGGGGCCCCAAGGCACGTGCGAGGTGAAGCGCTCCGTGAGGCCCATCCGCCCGTTGCCGGCGCAAGCCATGAGGACGGAGGCGGTCTGTGCCTTCCGCCTCTTGATGTCGGCGAGGGACAGGCTCACCTCCTTGTCGACGAGGCCGTGGATCTTGAGCCGGTATGCGCTCGGGTCGATGAGCGGCACGTCAAAGTGGATGAGGAGGTAGTGCGAGCCCGCTGGCGTGATGTCGGCGGACAGAGTCTCGACATGCGCGCCGTGGCACCGCTTGCCGAGCTGCAGCTCCGCCGGTGTCACGTCGGAACGCCCGGTCGTGTGCTTCCAGTCGCCCGGCTCCTCCTTGTGGAAGTCGTCGACGGTGAAGGCCTCGGCTCCGACGTGTTCGAGCACCTTTTTACGGTGCTCGACCGCACGCGCAGCTTCTGTCTTGGCCGCGGCGAGGAACTCGGAGCTCTCAGCGTGCCGGGTCATGGATGACAAGGGAGAGCCAGCCAGCGGATGGATTTTTTTGTGGCTTCAAACACAGAGCGATATAGGGTGGCCCATGGAGGCCGCCGCCACCGAGGGTTAACCCCCCCCCCCCCCCCGAGGCCCCGCGTGCGATGGGCTCGCCGTTGGCGTGAGCGCCGAGCAGGTCGCAGTCCTCCTCGTCGTTCGACTCGTCGTCGCTAGTGTCCTCGCCCACGTCGCATGTACCGAGCCTAGATGTTAAGTCTGTATTTTGTGTATTTGAACCTGGGCTGGAAAAGACGTGTATTTTCGCGTATTTGCACTTGTTTCTGGACGGAAAACACACACACAGAGAGAGAGATTTTTGCAACATAAAAAAACAATGGGTCCAGGGCGGCGAGGAAAAAAATGGCGTGCCGATTTCTTTTCGCAAGGACGACCCGAAAGAAAACACGTGAATTTCGGCGACTCATCATCAATGAGCTCATTAGCTCAAGCCTCCTGCGTTGGCCAAATGGGCGAGCCCACGCGCGTGGAGGAGCGGAGGAGGCCGCGGCCTCGTCGCGTGGGCCCCTACGTCCTCTCCGGCCGAACGCTTGGGGTCGGCAACGGGCCCGTCCACCATGCAATTTCTCGCCTTGACGGGAGCGAGGTGGCAATCAAGATGGTCCCTCGCAGGGCTGGAGACGAGAGGGAGCCGGAGGAGGTCCCACATGGGTACCCTCTAGGGCCCCCGCGCCCCCCCAGAGGCGAAACCTTCGTCCCACATGCTCGCGCGCCGCGCCTCCACGTCCACGCACATTTGCACACGCGGGACCTGAGTGACGCGACGGCAACTGGAATGCTCCGGCCTATCTCAGCGCGAGGCTGTGCGCCGCTGATCCTCAAAAAGAATTTTACAAGCGGAAGAAAACGTGCGCCGAATGGCGTCAAGCAGCCGCGAGTTCTCCCGCCCCGCGTCGAGCCAGCGCCCGCTCGTCCCGTCGAGCCAGCGTCCGCTCGTCCCGCCCAACTTTCTTGACACCATCAACGATGGTTCCTCCCTGGCGGCCGCCGCTAAGCCGGCCGACGCCGGCCTCGCTGCCGACCTGCAGCTCTACCACTACCAGCTGCAGGCGCTCCAGTGGATGGTTGGACGTGAGCGAGCTCTGGACGGCATCCACGGCGGCATTCTCGGCGACGAGCAGGGCACTGGCAAGACGGTTATGTGCGCCGCGCTCGTCGCCAGCCACCGTTGCGACGATCTGCGGCCGCAAGTGCGGCAGCCGCAAGCGCCGCTGCAAGCGCAGCGGCCGCTCGGTTCGGAGGCACGCAAGTGCGGCGCGACTCTGATCTGCTGCACGCCCGTCATCGAGGGGCAGTGGAAGGAGGAGCTCGCGCGGCACGCGCCCGGCTTGAAGGTGGTCCGCTTTGATCCCGGCGCCTTCTAGGCACTGCTCGGACCTTCTATAGCACGCTTCCTGTGTAGGTGGTCAGCTTTGCGGGATGCCCTGCGGCGGGCGACGCCGCGGCTGTCGCGCGTGAGGTGCAGCCGAGGATGGAGCAGCCGGCACAGCCCGCCTTGTACCCGCCACAGCAAGGCTGCGCCCTCCGCTAGGTCGAGTGGCCAGCGGAGAGGCGGACATGACATGTCCGGGACACGCGTCGCTCACATGTCCCGAGACATGGCGATAGGTCGAGCGGCTCGCGGAGGCAGACGTCGTGCTCGCGACGTACGAGGTGCTGATGAAGGAGCTGGTCCACATCGACCGCTTCTTTGAGAGCAGCCGCGAGCGCCGCGCCGGCCTGACTGCCGCGCGCTCGCCGGGCGGACATGTCGAGGACGCGTCCTGTGACATGTGAGAGACATGTCCACAGGCCTGGGGCTGCGCGCGAGAGAGGCGGACTCGGACGCTCGCCCGTCGCCGCTCAAGTACCTCACCTTTTGGCGGGTCGTCCTCGACGAGGTGCAAAAGGCGCCGACGACGCACGCGGCGGGAGGGACGGGTGCATGTCGAGGACGCGTCCATGACATGTCCGAGACACGTCCCACAGGCGCCGACGTCGTACGCGGCGGGGAGGACGGTGCGGCTCGTTCGCGCCGTGCATCGCTGGGCCGTGTCGGGCACTCCGATGGAGGCGGGGCGGCTGGCCGACATCCGCCACCTCATCAACTTTGTGGCGGGCGAGGCGAGCCAGCTGGAGGCGGTGTGGAGGCGCGCGGCCGAGGGCGGCCGTCTCGGCGAGATGTGGCCGGGATATGGCCGAGACACAGTTGTCGCTCTGGGGCTCGGGCAGGCGCGCGGTCGAGGGTGGTCATCTCGACGAGCTGCGCGCCGTGCTGCGGCCGCTCTTCCTGCGGCGCACCAAGGAGCAGGTCGGGAGTCAGATCCGCGTGCCCAAGCAGGCGCGCCACCCCGAGATCAGCCGAGATCAGCCGAGATCAGCCGAGATCAGCCGAGGTCAGCCGAGGTCAGCCGAGGTCAGTCGATATGCAGCCGAGGTCAGCCGAGGTCAGCCGAGGTCAGCCGAGATGCAGCCGAGGTCAGCCGAGATGCAGCCGAGCGAGATCAGCCGAGATCAGCTGAGGCCAGCCGGAGTCTAGCCGAGGTGCGCCCAAGCAGGTAGCGCGCACGTTTGCCTTTGAGCTGAGCGAGGAGGAGAAGGTGCTTGCACGCAGAGCTTGTGCTGCGGCCTTCTAGGAGCGCTCTAGGAAGCCTCCAGGAACCTTCCTTTTCAGGTGCTGCACGCCGAGTTTGTGCTGCCTGCGGCGCGCGCGTTGCTAGACAAGCAGCCGCCGGGCGCGTCCCTCGAGCAGCAGCTGGTCTTGGTCGGGATTAGCCGAGATTAGCCGAGATCAGCCGAGATCAGCCGAGATCAGCCGAGCAGTCTGTGCCGGACGAGCACGCGCGCGCTGCTCTCGCCGGCTGAGCCTACCAGGAGCCTTGTACGCGCCTTCTTATAGGTCGAGCACGCGCAGCGCGCGCTGCTCTCGCCCGCGCTTTGGAGCGAGTGGGGCCGAAAGGCGAAGCTCGCCGTCGAGGCCGAAAGGCTGCAGCGTCAGGGTCGTCGTCTCCAGCGGCGGCCACCAGCCTCGCAGAAGCCGCTTTGTAGCCGCCTTCCCCGAGCCCTCTAGGCCTCGTTTCGAGCAGCGCCGCAGCCGCGCGCAAGGCAAAAGGGCGCCGCCGTCGAGACTAGCCGAGATGAGCCGGGATGAGCCGGGGTGAGCCGAGACTAGGCCAAGGGCGTCGCCGTCGAGCTGGTGGGAGAGCTCGTCGAGGCGGCGGCGGCGTGCTCCGGCGGCGGCGCGGTGGTCGAGGACGCGGCGGCAGCGTGGCGGCGCGGCGACACGCCGCCGCCGCCGCACAAGTGGCCTCCTCTCGAGATGACGCGAGATGGCCCGCGACTAGGCGCGGCTACACGCTGCCGCTGCACAAGTGCGACGGCGTCCGGCGCTCGCAGCCGCTCTGGCCGTCGCTACTCAGCGCGGCGCGCGCGGCGGCGGACAGCGCGCACTCTTTGCTGCGCGAGGCGGTGGAGAAGCACGCGCTCGGAAGCGGCGAGCTGCAGGCCTGCCTCCTCCCTTTCCTCCACCCCTTCTCCCCCCCCCCACTCCCCCCCCACCCCCCCCGCACTTCTCTCCACCGCCTCTGTCGCTACCTCCTCTCCCCCCACTGCCTCCGTCCCCACCTCCCCCTTCGCCTCCTCCTCCTGTACGACCCTGTCCTTCTCCGTCTTCTTCGCTGCAGGGCGCCGATGTCGAGGTGCTGCAGCAGCTGGTTGCGCTCAAGTTTGTGATGCACCGCGGCACGCGTCATCAGCCGAGACCAGCCGAGATCAGCCGAGATCAGCCGAGATCAGCCGAGATCAGCCGAGATCAGCCGAGATCAAGTCTGTGCTGCACGCGGCGGACTGGCGCTCAAAGTCGACCTCTCTCCCGCCTCTTCTCCGCTCGCGTTGGCAGGCATGGTTGGGCCGCCGCTGCCGCCGCCGCCGCCGCCCGACGCGCCCCACGCCGCTCGCGAGCGCGCCGCGGCGGAGGAGGCGCGGCGGAGGCGACTCACGCATGACGCGCTCGATCTCGTGTTGAGCACCGAGACGCTCTGCAAGGGCGCCGTCGGCATCGGCCGGCTCGCGCGGTGGGCGCTGGGGACATGTCGAGGACACGTCCATGACATGTTCGAGACATGCCCCTCAGGCCGGCTAGCGCGGTGGGCGCTCTCGGAGAGCAACTCGGACGGCGTCCTCTCCGTCCTGCGCCGCTACCTCGGCTTCTTCCCTCCGCGACGTGTCGTTTGCCTGCCCGAGACATGTCCACGACACGTCCCCGACATGGACAGGCTTCTTCCCTCCGAGCGACGTCCCCGCCAGCGGCCGCCCCACGCGCGAGCACGGCCGACCCCTCGTGCCGCTCGACGACCCGCGTGTGCGGTGGGCCGACGTGGCGCCGTTCCTGGCGCTGCGCGTCGAGGAGGTCGAGCAGGACGCCCGAGATCCGCCGAGACCACCCGAGATCACCCGAGATTAGGCGCTGCGCTTCGAGGAGGTCGAGCTAGACGCGTCGACGCTGGCGAGGTTCCGTCAGGGCATCGCCGAGATGGGCATGATCGACGATGGCGGCATCGTGGCGCTCGCGCGGCCGGCAGGCCAGTGCGGCTTCGTCACTCAATACATGCTCTGCCTCGGCTCCGACCTCGGCGACCCCCATTTCCGCGAGCGGCTGCCATGTTCACGCGTGCTATAGACCGGGCTCTTCTCTCCGCCCCTAGGCGACCTCTTCCGCGAGCGCGAGGAGATGCGGCTGATTGCCGAGCGGCGGCTGATGCCCGATGAGTGCGTCCGCACCTTCCCTGTCGGCCTTCGGCCCGCCACCTTCCCCTCGCAGCTGCTGTACGGCCTGCTGGGCGAGCGCGAGCCGCCGAGCTCCGAGGAGCAGGACACCTTCTTTGCTGGGAGGATCATGAACGGCGTCTACATGCGCCGTTTCGGAGCGTGGGGGCAAGGGCGCCCCGACAGCGACGCGCTGGTGGCGGAGCTCAACGCCGCACGGCAGGCGACGCGGCCAAAGCTGCAGGCGAGCTCCCTTGTCTGCTCTCTTCCTCTCTGTTTCTCCCCCCCCCCCCCACCCCCCTCTCACCCTCTGCCTCCCTCAATCGCGCCTCCCTTCCGCCCCCCCTGCTACAGGCCAGCCGTCTTGGGCGCGAGCTGAGCGAGGAGAAGACGCGGGCCGAGCTGCTGCGGCGCGTGGAGCGGCACCGCGCACGCTACGCACGCATCAAGGCGCTGGCCGACGCCAGCGCGAACGCTTGTGTCAGTGGCGGCGAGCGCCGTGGCTGGGAGGTGCTCGGCGGGAGCAGCAAGCTGCTGGCTCTGGCAAAGCTGCTTAAGGAGCACGTGGTTGCCGCGGGCGAGAAGGCGGTGGTCTTTACGCGGTTCGCCGAGGCAGTCCCACTGATCGGGGCGCTGCTGCGGCAGCGCGGCGTCGGCACCGTCTCTCTCAAGGAGGGCGGCGGCGGCAAGTGGTGGCCCAAGGAGTGGCGCGAGAGGCTGTCGGCGGGGCGGGCGGTCGACGTCTTCCAGACCGAGCCATCGTGCTCCGCCATCGTGCTCGAGGCGGGCCCCGCTGCCGCGGGCCTCACGCTCACCTGCGCGCAGCACGTCGTCTTCGTGGACGTGCTCTCCTCGGTGCTGCTCGAGTCGCAGGCCAGGGCGCGTGTTGAGCGCATCGGGCAGCGCGCACAGACGACAGCCTGGCATTTGATTGGCGCCAACAGCGTCGACGAGCCGTTGCGCCGGGCGGCAGACGCCGGAGTCGCGCTCGACGCCGACGCGGTGCGCTCGGTCCTCGCCCCCCCCTGAGGGACGCGAGGGGCAAGCAGCCAGCCGCGCGAAATCACCGTACGAGTATAAGTGTGTCCCACGTGTAAGCCTCTCTGCACACTGCGAACCGCGAACCGAAGCGCTGGCCTGACGCTGTCGCACGCGGCTCAATAATCGTTTGTCAAACGTGCGTCTCCAACCCACAAGCCTTCGTCTCGTTATCTCGCTCGGCTGGAACTAAAGTATTGTGACACGTGTACTCTACACACACGTTCACATGAGCGCAGCAGAAAGATTCTCTTTTTAACTCTACAGGAAGGGCGCCGCGCAGGCGGAGAGCAGAGGCGGACATCAAGAGCATGCTCCAGGCCGGGGGAGGGGGGGCAAAAGCGGCTCGACGAACACTATCCCAGCAGAGAGCGGAAGCGGCGAACCGCATGCTCCAAATCGGGAACGGCACGGGCACTCCTAAGTAGGGGCACTCGCCCCAAGCTAGGGGGGGGGGGGGCACTATCTCCACGCCGCGTCATCGAGGCGAGCCTCTGCGCGCGCTCTCCAGAGAAGCGCGAGCGACAGGGGCGCGTGTGCTTGCGACTCTTGGACGCGGCAGGAAGCGCGGGGGCGGTCGGGCAGCGCAGCCTAGTGAAGCTGGCACTCCTGGAACTCGTCGTCGTCGGTCCACGCGCCCTGTCCACAGCACGCGATGTGAAGAGTCGCTGTTCACACGACAGTGTGCGCCGTCCGCCCCCACGTCGCACCTCCAGGTCTTCGGTGCACTCCTCAAAGAGCTTGCGGCGGCGCGGCTGCTTCTCAAACTTCTTCTTCTCGGCGAGCTCGAGCTTGCGGCGGCGCGAGCCTTCCGGCGTCGGCGCGGCGAGGGTGGTCGTCGCCCAGTCGAACTCGGGGATGGCGATGTACATCATTTGCGCCGTGTAGTAGAACCTGAGGCAGAGGCGGGAGGCACAGAGGCGTATAGGCTATAGGGAAGGCGGAGGGGCTCCGGGGCAGGGTTCGGGCAGGGTTCGAGACGTCGGATTTGGGCGCGCACCCGTAGTCCATGCAGCCCTCGCCGTAGCCCTTCATCTGGTTGTTGAGGATCATGTGCTTGGAGGTCTGCGTGTCGTACATCTCTTGGGGCGAGCACGTGCCGGTGGAGGCGTCCACGTCGCAGGTGAGCGAGGCCGACGCGTCGAACCAGCCTGAGGGGCGGATTCGGTGTGGTTGCGTGTGGGTCACTGTGTGGGTGCGCCGCCGCAGTGCGGACTCGGTCGCGGGGCGGGCGGGCGGTGCGGGCGGGTGGAGCGCGCCGGTCAGCTCTTGGTCGGAGCGCCGGTGGATCGAGCCGGCCGGCACGTTGGCCACGTTGTTGAACTTGACGTTGTCGTCGCCGATGGCTCCGGCGATGGTGACCGTCTTGCGCGTTTCGAGGTTGTAGATGCCGGCGATGTTGTAGCCGCCAGGCGCGTTCGAGTCCTCGGCGAAGAAGACGTTGTCGCCCTTGCCCCAGTAGAGGGAGTCGACGTACGAGAGGCCCGCCTCGCGCTGCGGACCCATCACCACCTGGTCCGCCATGATGTGGTAAACTTTTGCGGAGATCGACTCGGGGAGCGGCGAGCCGTTGCGCGAGGCGACGCCGCCCTCGCGCACGACGACGCTGTCGAGCGCGTCGAGCGCCGCCTTGAACTCCGCCTCGAGGAAGATGAGCGTCGACGCGCGGTCGCTGCCGAGCGGCAGGGTCGACTTGTCCCACTTCGGCTCGCCGTCCGTGGTCTTGGTCTTTCCGAGGCCCGTCTCGGCGATGGCCCACTGGTTGGGCTTGTCCGGGTTGGTGCCGCCCCACTCCTGCTTTGACACGCCCGTCATGCGCAGCGGCGTCTTGCCCGAGACGGTCATGGCGCAGTTTGTGGACGGGCGCGTCCACTCGTATCCGTCCTCGAACTCGCCGTACCGGCCGTCGAACATGGCGTCGATCGGCTCGAGCGTGCCAGGGAGGTCGACCTGCGGGTACTCGAAGGCGCCCGACGCGGGCCAGTTGACGAAGGTTGCCATGTCGGTCTCGCCGTTGGCGGCGACGAAGCGGTAGAGGCGGCCCTGGTTGATGCCGAGCCCGTTGCGGTCCAGGAAGTGGGGCGACGTCTTGTCCTTCTTGCCGAGCCAGACCGTCCAGCCGGAGCCGCACGAGGAGTCACCGTAGTCCTCGATGCCGATGGCGATGTAGTCGGGGTGGCCGGTGGAGATGGTGAAGGCCATCTCGATGGTGCCGACGCTGAGGTGCGGCAGCTGGTACCAGTGGCCACGGCGCACGTCGAGGATCTGCACGGTGCCGGTGGGAGCGGAGGGGGACGAGCCGGCGGGCGGGTTGAAGGACGCGCCGCCTTCCTGCGCGACGAGCACAAATTCGTCCTCCGAGCCGACGCCCTCCGCCGCGCCGTAGGCTGGCACGCCGTCCACGGTGTACGAGTACTCGTGCTTGTAGGAGATCTTGGAGCCGCAGTGGCCGTACAGGCCGCAGAAGCGCAGATCGGTGCCCTCGGGGACCGGGTCGAGCGGCGACGCGGGGCAGAACGGCTCGTTCGGCTCGGTGACGACGGTGTACGTGCCGTCGGGGTTCTTGAGCGAGTTCTTCACGTTGATGTGCAGGTCGGAGTGCTTCTTGACGATCGTGTACGCGGCCTCGGAGGTGGCGGTCGGCGGGATGACCGTGTTGTAGGGGAAGCCGCGGGCGGTGAAGACCTTCTTGACGGTCTGCCCGCCGTTGACGACCTCGAGCGTCTCGCGGTCGAGGTCGGCGAACTGAAGGTGGCAGGAGGGGGGGGGGGGGGGGCTGGGCGTGAGGGCTGGGAGGGGCAGGGCGGGGGCTGAGTCGGAGCCTGCTCCATCGCCCCGTGCATGATGAGGATGTCCTCGGGGGCGGGCGGGAGCTCGCCGAAGCCGCCCTTGTCCTCGGAGGTGGAGATGGCCCACTGCGCAGACTGGGCGCCGACTTGCCCGCGGATCTCGGTGTTGATGAAGGTGCGCATGTACGATTTGCCGGTGGCCATCGTCTGCATCATGCCGTTGCCGAGGATGGGCATCGCGTTGAGGCCGTCAAACGAGCCGACGTAGCAGAAGTCTCCCTGGGGCGGCAGGAGGCTGGGTTCGAGAAGCGGGGAAGGCGGGTTGTGTTGGGCGGCTCGGCTGGGGCTCTGGCAGAGCGCAGAGGGTGGCTGGTGGAGGCACCTCCGGGTGGCGCGGGCTGAGCTGCCAGTTGAAGAGGGGATCGTGGTGCGTGCACTCCGAGGCGGTGAGGAGCGAGTCGATCTTGGCGCCAGAGAAGCCCTCGGCGTGGACGATGTGGGCGCCCGCCTCCACGAAGCAGTTGAAGTCGGTGATGGTCGAGACGGGATTGAAGGGCTCCTCGGCCGAGGCGTTGCAGCAGTGCATGTCGTAGCCCGTCTGCGCGGCGAGGGCGGTGGTGGGCTCGACGGCGGCGGGCTGAGTGGTAAAGGCGTGGGCGTGGCGGCGAGGGCGGCGGCGGGCTCCGCGGAGGCGGGCTGGGCGGGGGTCGCGAGGGCGGCGGCGGCGAGGGCGGCGGTGGGGTGAGCGGCGGTGGGGTGAGGCGGCGCCTTGACCATCGCGCACGTCTGGCGCGCCGGCTCGTATGCGCTTGGGTTCGACATGTGCTCGGGCGTGAAGACGTGGTCCCTCGGCGCCGTCAGGTACTCGTTGGTAGACGCGAGGGCGAGGCGGCGGCGCCCGTCGCCAGCCTGGCACCTGGATGAGGTGTCAGGAGGATGATGCACGGCGTCAGGAAGGTGGTGACGGCGACGTGGATTGGCGGGAGTGTGGGGCGATCCGCGCGCACGTCGCTTCCTCGGGGAGCACAGGGCACGTTGGGCAGACGATCGGCTCGGGGCACGGCTCGGGTTGCGACGCAAACGCGAGGAGGAGCGCTGGGAGCGAGTACAGCATTGCGAGCAGAAGACGTGAGGACGAGCGCTGCGGCGAGGGGGTGGCGGGCGTGAGTATTCGGGGAGCGCGAGCGCTCCTGGGAAAGCTATGGCGACCACCTGGAAAGGCCGAGGGGTTAGGGCTTTAGGGCTTAGGCCGACGGAGGATTGCATATCACGGCCGAACCATATATGCCTGCATCTCCGCCGGGGCTGATTTTTGAGTACGCTTTTGCAGCCTTGTTTCCCCTGGAGGGATACACCGGCCGCTGTTTTTTGAAAGAAAGAAAACAAAACTGCATTTAGCTATCTCTGCACCACAGACAGGAAGAAGAGAGAGAGGAGCCGCCTAAGTAAGCGACTCCTGCGAGGACGGCGAGGCACTTAGCTCCGTGCTCTCGACCGCCCTCCCTCGCCGCAGGCATGGTGTTGTGTGAAAGAAAGAAAACAAAAACTGATAACACTCCAAGTGCTCCAAGTACCAAGAGAACCCTCAAGAGGGATTTTTGAGCACCATGCCTGGTTTTCGTTTCTTGTTGGAACCCGTTTCCTCTCTCTCTAGTTTCCCGAGGAATTCAGTGCGTAGGCGTCACCAGCCAGTCATCTTGGTTGGGAGCGGAGCTGCTCTTATTGCAATACGGGTGAAAGCGAAGAACCGGCGCAGCCAGAGTGCTGGCGCGGTCGCAGAGCCTGGCGCGGCCACAGAGCTGGCACGGCGCCGGGCCAGGAAGAGCAGCGAGAGAGCTGCAGGAGCAGCACGCAAAGAGCGAGCGCGGCCACGAGGCACGCGGAACGTGCTTGGACGTACGTCGCGTCCTGAGTTCATGGAGAAACTCCGTGGAGACTGGCAAGAGGGATGAAGACCCTTCATATGAGAAGACGCTCCTCAGTGAGTACCTGCGATGTAGTAGCCTCACACGAGTTGGGGCCCCTACCCCAATCGTTGAGGCGATCTTCGCTCGGTACGTTCGGTGTGGCTCACCCTCCATGCCGTGAACAGGCGTTTTATCCACCCTATATTCTTCTCTCGTTCCTCTGCCCGTGCCTTGGTCTTGTCGTTGTTTCGCACCCATGTCTGTATGGCAATCGAGGCTGCCTTCCCCACTACCTGTAGTTCACTCGTCACCTCTCCCGCAAGCTCCCTTCTCTTTCTTTCGGGTATGGAGTCCGTGAGTGCGGGTAGCGTGCAGGCAATCACGGGTGCTATTTTGTCGTACTCCTCTTCGGCGAGCGCCCCAAATCTAGACCCTTTCGCCTTTAAGGAGGCTGCCCTCGCTCGTCTCAGGAATGTGGCGGTGTCTTTTGAGTCCGGCGCCTCCCGTTCAACTCTTGCTGTCGCCCTCGCTGTGTGTTTGTCGAGCTTCCGCATGAAGTGACGCGCCTCTTCCTTAGATGAGTGACAGTGTTGTGCCAGCGAGAGCATCTAAATTTCTTTTTTCTCCGTAACGAAAGGCCGTCGGCCATGTTCCGGCTACTCTTTATCCTCATCAGCACCAGTATCACTGGCGCCGCCGAAACCTGCGTCGCCAACAACTTCGTCGCCGGCGCCGCCGGCCTCAGCGCCTCGTTTCTCGGCGCATTTACGCCTTCCGAGTGCGCCAAGCTGCGAGAGGCCTCGCGCTCCGCCGCCACAAACGCCACCGCCGACGTCCGCTCAAATCCGAACTCCGACGCGCCGTGGGTCTCGCGAACGTATGTCGTGGGAGACGGCTTCCGGTCGGATGGACCGAGCGGCGCTCTCGAGCTTCCGGCCTGGGCGAAGCAGCGCCTGCTCTCGCTGGCGCTCACCGCCGATCGCAGCTTGTGGAGACTCTCCCGCGCGGAGAGCGACGGCCTCGAGGCGCCGATCGTGTCCACATACGTTTCGCCTGCCGACCATTTTGGCTGGCACGTCGACCAGTCGGTCGAGCAGGCGGCGGCCGACGCTTCGGCGGGCCGTGCCGGGAGGCTGCTCGCCATCGCTCTGCAGCTCTCTTCTCCGGGTGAGTACGAGGGCGGCGAGCTGGAGGTTGGTGCGAGCGTGGCGCCGCGCGGGGTCGGCGACCTCGTCGTCTTCCCGGCGGCGGTGCCGCACCGGGTCACGCGTGTGCAGGCGGGCCAACGGCTCCGCCCTCTGCCTCCCTCTCTCGCCTCTCGCCGCTCTCCCCTCACCACTCTCGCCTCTCTCACCTCCTCGCCTCAGCCCTCACCCCAACTCGTCCCAACTCCGCGTGCAGGCGGGCCCTCGCCTCTCGACCTCCCCGCCTCCCCACCTCCACCCCTCTCCCCTCTCCCCTCCTCACCCCCCCTCACCCCCCCCCCTCACCTCCCCCTCTGCGCGTGCAGACAGGTGCGCGTGTCGCACTCATCGCGTGGCTTCGCGGCGGCGGCGGCGGCGCCGACACCGCCCTTGAGCTCCACCGACGAGTGCTCGGCGCGTGGACTGGGACCGGCGAGGCGGCGGGCGCGCTGTCGGGCGACGCGGTCTCCTCGCCGCCAGCTGCGGTTCCGCGCGCAGTGTGCTCGGCCAGCTTGCGCCTCCGGCCCAGGGAGCCCAACACCGCCTCTCCCGCCGCCTCTGGCAGGTGCTCAGCCTGCTCGCCGCGCAGCTCGAGCAGGCGGGGAGGCACGCCGAGGCGCTGCCGCTGCTGCAGAGGGCGGCGGCGCAGCAGCCTGACGACGCGGCGGCGCGGAACCGTAGAGGGGGAGGGCAGAGTCCGTGTGTTCCGACTAGCACACGAGGGGACATGTGCATGTGCTCAACTATTCTCAGCCGTATTCGGTGTATTCGTAGCCCTCGTATTCGCGCGGTGCTCCGAATACACTGATGCCCTATTCCCGCCCCGGCTCTGTTGTCTTCACGACACAGGCGCAAAATAACTTGGGCGTGACGCTGTACGCAATGCGCCGGCTGGACGAGGCGGAGGCTGCCTTTCGCGACGCGGTGTGAAGAATGATACGTCGGGCACACCTCGGGTAGAGTGTAGAGAGATGGGTTGCGGGAGCGGTTTCCGGCCCATGCTGCGGTCTTTGTGCAGGGATCTTTGTGGGGTGGGCACGCGTTACGAACGCAGGGCACGAGGCCGTCTATCTACTCCACGCCTCGACTCTTGCGCATCCCCACTGTTAGGTTCGCCTCGCGCCCGACGACGCCACGCTCTTTGCCCGGCTCGGCGAGGTCAGCCTCCCTCTTCCCAGCCCGCCTACGCGAGTAGGCGCCCGCAATTGCCTTCCGTCCTACCCCTCCCCTCCTAGCTTCGCCCACGCCGGCACGGCCTCCCCCCCTGTCTCACCCTCACCGACCCTCAATCCCCCCCCCGCGCCCTTCCTCACCCCCCTCCTCCTCGCCCTTTGGGGCCCTCGCCCTGGTAAGGTTGGCCGCGCGATTGGGTCCCGAGGGAGCCTCGGCCGGGCGGTGCGCGCCTTTGGCGAGGCGGCGCGGCTGGCACCCGCCGACGCCGACTTGCAGGCGAGTCTCCTCGAGGCGAGGAGGGCGTATAGCCGCGCGCAAAGTTGAAACAACGAGAGTTCTTGAGAGAGCTCACCTTTTTTTGTGTACATTGGGTGGACGGTCCGGTTTTTGTTGGCAAATCAAGTCCTGTGGTGTGATCTGTGATCTGTAAGGGTCCGCCCGCAGGCGCATTTTGTATACCGAGGCGGTGCCCGGTGCCGAACCTGTCGGTGGTGTACTCAGTACCTGGGTCATAGTGCCAGTGCGCGCCAGTCCCCTCGATATCGACGGGGCACCAAGGCGTTCCAAAACCAAGGGACTCGGATACGTTTGCAGGTGGCGAATAGGCACGTGGGCAACGCGGCAACACAGAGCCTTGGACCCTTTCGCCCTTTCTCATCACTGCCCCGACACCCACTCCTCGACCTTCTTGGGCAGCAGCTGGTTCGACAGGTCCTCTCCGTGGCCTAGGCAGCCGCTCTCGCCCTTGCCCCAAGTAAAGACGGCGCCACTGGCGGTGATGGAGAGGCTGTGGCTGCGTCCAGCCGACACAGCGACGACGCGCTGGCCAGCAAAGCCCTGGATCTTCTTGGGCAGCAGCTGGTTCTGCGCGTCGCCGTGGCCCAACCGGCCATTGCATCCGCGGCCCCAGCTCCAGACAGATCCGTCGGCTGTGATGGCGAGGTTGTGGCCATCTCCAGCCGAGACAGCGACGATGCGCTGGCCAGCAAAGGCCTCGATCTTCTTCGGCAGCAACTGGATCTGCTCGTCGCCGTGGCCCAGCTTGCCGCGGTATCCGCCGCCCCAGCTCCAGAGGTCGCCGTCGGCGGTGAGGGCGAGGTTGTGGCCATCTCCAGCCGAGACAGCGACGATGCGCTGGCCAGCGAAGGCCTCGACCTTCCTCGGCAGCAACTGGATCTGCTCGTCGCCGTGGCCCAACTTGCCTGAGGCTCCCCAGCCCCAGCTCCAGACGGCGCCGTCGGCGGTGATGACGATGGTATGCACGGCTCCCGCCGCCACGGCGACAACGCGCTGGCCAACCAAGGCCTCGACCTTCTTCGGCAGCAGCTGGTCCTGCTCGTCGCCGTGGCCCAGCCGGCCATTGCATCCGCGGCCCCAGCTCCAGACAGATCCGTCGGCTGTGATGGCGAGGCTGTGCATTTCTGCTGCCGACACAGCGACGATGCGCTGGCCAGCAAAGGCCTCGATCTTCTTCGGCTGCCACTGGTCCTGCTGGTCGCCGTGGCCCAACTGGCCAAAGCCTCCTTCGCCCCAGCTCCAGACGCCATCGGCGGTCAGGGCGAGGCTGTGGTATCCTCCAGCCGACACGCTCGCGGCGCGCTCGCCGCCCAGCGTCGACGGCAGGCGGGTCGGTGTGGTGAGCTGCGTCACGCCCTCGCCGTGGCCGAGTACCCCAGGGCTGAACCACGGCGCAGAGCCGCACGACGAGAGCCGCCCCTCGCCGTCGATGAAGAGGCTGTGCGTTTTGCCTGCCGCCGCCCTCGCCGGCGGGTTGGACTCGCGCAGCAGCGCAGAATAGCACAGCCACCGCACGGCGCAGATATCGTCCTCGGGCTGCGCCGGCAGCTCGAAGCCGCGCTCTTGCGCCCACAAGCGGATGCCCTGCTCTGCGAGCGAGGCGTGGAAGAGCAGCGAGACGGCCGCGACGCGAGCGATGTCGACGGGGCTGTCGCAGCAAGAGAGGGCGCGCTCGAGGAGCTCCCTGGGGAGGTCGAGGAGCCGGGCGGGCGGCGGCGCGTCTGGCGAGGTAGCGGCGGTGGCGGAGGCGGCGGGGCGGCGCGAGCGGCGGCGCGGCGGGGTGGACATCGCGAAGAGAGAATTCTTTGTCCTCAATCTAGAGCTCTACTGCTGCTCTTGGCAGGAGATTTGCCACTTATGAGATCTCTAAAAGGCATCTACGATCTACAGTCCAAGGATCTTCCGATGTTGGGTAGAGATGTCCATGTATGATTCCTAATTGTCTACCTGAGAAGGTACACACACTGAGAGCAATCACGGCGGCGCAGGCTCACCCGCCAACTCCTCTTCCAATTCTGACGCCTCCGCAGCGGCCCCCGGCTCGCCACAATCCTCGGGCAAAACGCTGCCCGCCTCACTGCCCGACTCGGCTCCTTCAGCAGCCGCCGCATCTGCGAACGCTGTATCATCTCCCCCCTCCTCGTGGCTGTTTGCCGCCTCCGCCTCCGCCTCCGCCTCCGCCTCCGCCTCCGCCGCCGCCTCCGCCGCCTCCGCCTCCGCCGCCTGCTCCGCCGCCGCCTTCTCCGCCGCCTCTGCCTTCGCCGCCGCCCGCTCCGCCGCCTGCAGCTTGTGGCGCCACTCGGCGGCCGCGTCCTCGACCTCAACGAGGAGCTCCTTCACCCGCGCCGCCGCCGGAGCCGCACCGACGCCCTCAATGTCCGACACGTCGGCGAGCGCCGCCTCCGCGCCCAAGCACGCCTCCGCCGCCTCCTCCGCCGCCGCCTCCACGCGGCCTCGCGCCGCAGCGAGCGCCTCCAAAGCCTCCGACGCGGCGGCCGACCCCCGCGCCCCGGGAGGGCGCGCGCGCGCCACCGCCTTGCGCGCCTCGTCGGCGAGCGCGCGCAAGCGGTCGGCATCGGCCATCCGCTCTGCACGCAGCGCGGCGCGACCCCGCGGCACCGCCATCAGCTGGGAGAGGGCGTCGGCCTTGGCCTCGTACGCCTCGCGGGGCGCGTCCTCGCCCTCGTCGTAAATCCACTCCTCCGTCTCGCACAGCGCCGACTCGAGCGGCGCCCTCTCCGCCTCCGAAGCGAACGGGGCCAGCGCGTCGGACAGGTCGGCGCGCGCCGCATAGACCGACGCCTGCAGGAAGGCTCAGAGAAGGTTCCGAGAGGGCTCGTGGGTCGTTCGGCGCGCGCCGGCCGACGCCTCGAGGTCGTTCTTCGCGGCGAGCGCCCGCTCAATCTCCGCGTCCGTGGCGGCCATCGCCTCCTCCTCGCCGAGGAGCGTGGCGAGGGCGCTCTCGGTCAGGCCAAACGACCTGAGTCACGGCGGCCAGGTGTCACGGCTGGAGGCGGGCCAAGGGCGTCCCGGGGGGGGGGGGGGGGGGGCTCTCGGCCTCCCCAGGGAGGGGAAAAAGGGGGGGGGGCTCTCGCCCTCCCCGGGAAAGGGGAGGGGAGGGGAAAAAAGGAGGGAAAAAAGGAAAGGGGGAAAGGAAAGGAACCCAGGAAAAAAAAAAAAGGAGGGGAAAGGAGGGGAAAGGAGGTGGAAAGGGGAAAATTTCGGCCCAAGCGACCCCCCTCGATTTCAAGGGGGGGGGGGGGGGAAAAAAACGCGTCCCCCCCCCCACCCTTTCCGCCGAACGGGCCCCCCTCCTGGCCCGGGCCAAAAATGTTCTCCTTTCCCTTTCCGCCTCCGCCGCCAGGCTTGTGGGGGCCAAACGCCTCCACGGCCTTTTTCCCCTGCCGGTT